TGATAAACTTAGGAAAATTTTGAATGCGTAATCCATATTACCACATTTTGCATAAGCATCAAGTAATGCATTTCCAACAGTTGGTTCTGTATCATTCAGTAAGAGACTGGTCTAATTGAATAGCAATGAGTTTCCCTAACTTTCTCTTCCCTTTAGAGTATTGACACAGAAATGAATTATAGTTAGGATAGTTATGGAGTCAGGAATGATGGCTTCCTTAAGCATCCAGTGTAGGGTGTCCAGAAACTTATCGTAATATTGACCTTCTGCAAAGGCATCAAGCACAGAATTCCATGATATCAAATCCTTCCCAAAAATCACTAAAAATGTCCAGTAAGCCGCCTCTATCTCGCCACATTTTGCATAAAAGTTAACAAGAGCATTCCCAACTGTTGTATCCTCACATAACGAAGGACGGCGGATAATATAGCTGTGGATCTGCTTGCCAAAATGCAAGGCTTTTAACTGTGCACAGACAGGAAGAATGCAAAGAAAAGTTACCGAATCAGGTCCAAACTTCTCTGCAGAAATTAATTCATGAAACAAATGCAAGGCTTTCAACCACTCATTATTTGATGCATACCCAGAAATAATAGCATTCCACGAAATTAGATCTCTTGAATTCATCTTTTGAAACAATAATGCAGCTTCTTCCATCCGTCCAACTCGCAAGTAAAAGCTCACCAGAGCATTGCCAACAAAAACATCTGCTCCTAACTCAATCCTCCTCCAGATATAACAGTGGATCTCTCTCCCGAAACAATAGGCACTGCTCCTATCTAAAGAAGCACAAACAGGCAGGATATTTGCAATTGTTGCGTAATTGGGTCGTACAGGCCCCTTTAGCATCCATCTAAACTGCCTAAACGCATCATACATCAACTTATTCTCAGAAAAACCAGCAATGATTGCATTCCAAGAAACAACATCTTTATCAGCAATGCTGCTAAATGCAGCATATGCATCATCCTTAACCAGCCGACATTTTGCATACATAGACACCAAAGCATTCCCAACAAGTGTATGAGTTTCCAATCCAGATTTAACCAGATAAGTATGCATACTCTTCCCTAGATTGGAATTCCCAAATTGAGCACAGCCAGGAAGAATAATAGCAAAGGTGACAGCATTGGGCTTGGTTTCATGAGACGCGTGCATCGCCCTGAACAATCTCATCATCTCTACATAATTTAATTCAGAACCAGCAAACCCAGATAATAGAATGTTCCAGACAACAGGATCATTGCTACCCATTTGAGCAAATAGCATCCGGCAATCATCAACATCCCCGCATTTAGCATACATATTAAGTAGTGATTTTGACATAAGGTGGCAGGAGAGATGTCCTATTTTTACAAGAGCACTGTGTAGAGCCCTCCCAAGTTTGGAAGAAGAGAGAGCAGCACAAGATTTGAGAACACAGGCAAAAACTTGGTGGTGATGCCTACAAGCGAATGAAAATTGGATGTTCTGAACAAATTGGCACAGAACTTCCCTGTGCCTGCCCCCCCCAGAATAATCCATGATAATGGTGAGCCATGACTTAAGATTTGGTTCAAGCATTCCCACAAACATCTGTCCTGCCTACTTATTTTACACTTGAAATCAGTAGCAACCTTTGTTGTTGTCATTTACGAACTGATTGCAAACACAGCTCATTAAGGTAACACCAAAGCCTGTTTACTGTGATTATACATATAAAATACATATTAGAAATATGCTGTAAATGAGAGAAACTTGCAACAGAAAACGTAATTGGATTTTTTTGTTTTAACTTTTAAACCCTTTACATGGGGCAAATGGCTCCAGGCACACTCAAACCTGTGAACAGACTCGATATTAGGGGCGGAGGTTAGCTAAGGTGGCTGCCGAATGTAACTGGAATTTGGATAGCTATGCCTTCACCTATAAGTCCCGCCTTAACCTATAAGTTCCGCTATCTCACTAAATAGATCAAATTTCAATATAGTTGAATAAAAATTAAGACTTTTATAATTAGGTGAAAGATGGAATTCAGATTCGAATGGTCAATTTTTCTGATAGAACTTTGTGCTTTGTCAGATAAAAAATATGCTCTTCATAAAATTAATACCATTTAGTATCGATCCCCAGTCTCAATTTTCTATCTTGTACAAAGTTATTGAGCTTTCTGGTAAATTAGGTTCACTTTTATCTTTTCTAATTAAAACATTTTTAAAAAAAATTTTATGTGTAAAGGTATTTTCGGACAATTTTTTATGCATATTGACATAACAGTAACTGATGTAGGATTAATTAGGATTAATTTGCATACAAATAAATTGGGGCAAAATCCAAGTATCATGCCTAGGGTTCTTAAGTATCACACTTGAGTTTTGATTAAGCCACACAATCAATTATGAGAAAATCTCAAAAATATTATTCAATATTTGAATAATCCTCTTAAGAGGTTACAATTTTATTTACAGGGTGCTAAGTAGAACTTTCCTAAAGTGGATTAAGAAATACCAAAACTAATTTAGGAATATTATTTCTAAGAAAAAAAGAATGCTAAAGATAAGAAAAACAATCATAAAAATTGAAAAATAATCAAACAGTAAATTTCTTTAATAATAAATTCCTATTAAGGCTATGAACCACCAATTCTCCCCAAGGGGAAAAACTCGGCTCCATCAAGTTGAAATCATATAATGTGGCATGCATGACAGGGTTGGGCTTCTTGAGGTCAGCTTCTGTGATTCAAGTGCAAACAATTCGAAAACGTCCTTTCTATTTTACTAGAAACTTGTGATAACTACCATTCCTTATGGCTACCCCTTGATAATCAACAATATCTTCAACCTCATCCTTGATATTTGGAGTGTCAGCCAAGCGAATAGGAACACTATCATGAGAAACAATAGGGTCACCTCCTTAATATGAAGTAAGATCTTCAATGTTGAAGACCTTACTTAGATTTATATCTTTTGGCAAATCAATAATATAAGCATTTTTAAAAAAGAAAACAAAAGGTGTAATTTGTATTAGTTACATGCACCAACATGGTGCAAATCCACGTACAAAAGAATTTATATATCAGTCAGTATGTCAATAAGTTCTCCTAAATTCTCCATTGAATACAGTTGTTGCCTCATTATCAAACTACCAAGTGTTTGGAATCATCTCTCTCTCTAATTCTATCTAGGCTCTCCTATTTCGTTCTTTCCAAAGCACCCAAATAACTACCAAAGGGATAAGCCCAAACTGCTTTTTTCTACTCATCATGTCCTTCCACGCGCAAATCTCCTTCTTGACAGTACAGCTATAGCCTAATTGTATCCCAATATCCCAAGAGTCATCAATAACATAAGCATTTGAGCTAATCTTCTTGAGCATTTTGTAAGGGCCAATGTCTTTGGAATGAAGTTTCTTGTAAATGCCCTTAAGAAACCTTCCTATTTTAATGCGTACCATAACCATATTTCCCTCATTGAAGTCGGAAAGTCTTCTTTTAAATCAGCAAAGGCTTTATATCCTTCATTATTTAAGGAAATTTTTGTCTAACCTCTGCATGTATGCATGTATATGTGTAGCAAAGTCTTCTGCCTCAATACTAGGACAAGCATTTACTAGAAAATGAACCAAATCAGTAGGCTTCGTTGGTTGTATGTCCATAACACATTCACAGATATTGATTCCTGTGCTTTGGTATTACTAAACTATTGTAACAAATTCAATAATGGGAAGAACAAAGCTGGTAACATGATAATGCACACAATATCGAAGGAGGTCTCCCAAGCTCTTGTCAACTTCAGTTTGCGGATGGAAAGGTGTAGAATACTTGAGTTGAGTATGTAAAATCCTCCACAAAGTATGCCTAAAGTAACTTATAAATTTTGTATCACGACTGGAAATGACGAATAAGGGTAGTCCACATAAGTGAACTACTCCAAAGAACAATTTGACCGCATGAGAAGCATCAGAGATCCTTACACATGGTATGAAATGAGTCATTTTAGAAAACCAATCTATCACCACAAATATTGAACCATGACTTCTAATTGCTTTTGGCAAACTAAGCACAAAGTCCATGCTTACATCTGTCCATGGCTCATGGGGTACAGGCAGTGTGTGTATAGACCAGTATTTTGCTTCTTTCCTTTGTAGATTTGACTTAAACAATATCTAATAACCGTTCAAGCCACATCTCCTTTTATTCTTGGCTAGCAAAACTAATCTTTCACCATGACAATTGTGTAATTTCTTCTAAAATGACCTATTATACCTCCTGAATGCAATTGATTAATTCTAATAGGAGAGGTGTATTTGGTCAACAAAGACGAGCTCCTTTAAATAACTATTCATCATCCAATAAAAATTCAAATCACACTTCCGACCAACTAAGTCTTGATAAGTTATACCAAAAACCTTATAGGATGGATAACTTGTTTTAACCAAGCCAAATCCCATGACTTGGACATCTATGGAGGTGAGTATTATAGCCATTCGACTTAATGCAGCTGCTGCTTGATTCTCTACTCCTTGCCTATATTTGATAACAAGAGTGTACTCTTGCAAGAATGTTACTTAGCTTTCATGACGGTGGTTAAATTTTCTCTAAAAATTTGATATATTTAAGAGTCTCGTGTTCAAAGTAGAGGACAAACTCTTTCAGGAGTAGGTAATAATGCTAATGTCGAAGTGTTTGGATGACGGTATAAAATTTTTTATTGTATGTAGTATACCTTTGTTTTGCATCATTAAACTTCTTGCTAAAGAAAGTCCGAATGTCCTTGACTAAGGACACCACCAAGATGCATCAGATATCACTTCAAATACCTTGGAGAAATCAAGAAGAGGTAATACTAGTGATTCTATCAATTTCCTCTGGACGAACTCAAAAGCTCTAGACATTATTTTGCTACAAGTAAACTTTCCATTCTTCATGCAATTCATAATGGATGTTATTATAGTGCTAAAGCTTTCAATAAACCTCCTAGTAAAAGATGTGAATCCGTGAAAGTTTCACAATTCATATAAGATCTTGGGAGTTGGCTATTCATGAATAGCTTTATCTTTTTTAGGATAAACTTTTATTCCTTTAAAAGAGACAACAAATCCCAAAAATACAATATTGGTTGTCATGAATGCAGATTTTTTTAAGGTTAATATAGCATCTTTCTTGATAGAGTACTCTCATAACTTGTTCTAAGTAAAAGATGTGTTCCTCTTTGGACTTACTGAAGATAAGGATATCATCATAGCAGAAAATAAGAAAACTCCCATTAAAAGCTTGTAAAACTTGATTCACGAAGTATATGAAGGTACTTGGGGCATTAGACAATCCAAATAGTAAGACTAAATCATTCATATAACTCATCTTTTGTTTTGAATACTGTTTTCCATTCATCTCCTGGTCTTACACAAATTAAGTGATATCCGCTCTTCAAATCTATCTTGGAAAAGTATGTGGAATCTACCATGAGATCTAGCATGGCACTGAGACGAGGTATGCAAAACCTATACTTGATGGTAATCTTATTTATTGTGCGACTATCAACACACATCCTCCAAGTCCCATCTTTATTAGGTGTGAATAATGTTGGTATAACACATGGTCTTAAACTTTCTCGTGTAAATCCCTTAGAAAGAGTTCATCAACTTGTCGTTTAAGCTTAACATATTCACTTGGATTCATACAGTATACTGGCAAGTTTAGCAGTTGAGATCCAGGAACCAAGTCAATAGCATGTTGAAAATTACGAATTGCAAGAAGTTCATTTGATAAATCTAGTGAAGTAATATTAGAAAAGTCAGACAGGCTAGTCACTTCTAGCGATATTGTTTATGTTGAACAAGCTACTTGTTCCTTTAATTTTCGATTTTCAATAGCATAAACAACTTTTAATTTTTTTGCTTTCTCCTTCAAACTACTTTCTTGATAAAAAATGGAGTTGTTGATCAGTTGTCATAAAATTTGCAATCTTCTTGGCTTTAAAATTTTTGATATTTTCTCGTGGGCTACAAGATAATGTTTCTATAGAAAAGGAATATGTGACTTCCCTACCATTTTTGTGTACATTCATTCATATATCCAATGGAGACCAAGAATAATATGAGTTATTTGCATGGGAACAATATCACATAAGATGACATCTTCTTTACTTACCACATTGGAAAGAGATAGACATTGTTGAGTAATTGAAATTGTTGTCTCATCAATCCATAATACCTTGTATCGTTGTGGATGTGGTTTAGTGGGAAGCTTGAGACGCTCTATGGTTGAAGCAAACACAACATTCATGCAACTACCCCAGTTAACGACAAGTTTTTTGTTTTAGTCCACAAATTACAAGAGTTTGGGATATAGTAGTACGACATCAATCTTCTTCCTCAACCTTAGGTGTTAGAAGGATATATCTGGCTTCAGATACAAGGGACGCCTCCACATGATAGTCATCATTGGCTAAGTCATCATTGTTGGGTTTAAGCTAGGTAATGGCTGAAAATATAGGTAACGAGTTGTGGGCTTCGGCGGGTTATTGTAAGAAGAAAAAACATTTGTTCTTTATTCCACTAACTATCTTTTGGGTTGTGTGGAAGAAAAGAAATGCGAGAGCTTTTCAAGGCATTGAGACTAACTTTACAAACATTAAAAATAGATGAATCCATATTTTTAGTTCTATTTTATTAGGTCATGATATCAAATATTGGGATGGTTTTGAGTGCGTCATGAACTACTTAATTGACTTATAACTATACTTTGTACATGGGCAGTACCTTCTTGGTACCTTTGTGCATAATAATATTTCTCTTATATTTCAAAAAAAAAAGTCACCATCATCAATTGAGAAACTGCTTGACTATCATCTTCCACCAACTTTGAATTTTTAGTTCTTCAAACTTTTAAGTGTATTGAATTATTGACATTTTGTCTTAAATTAAAGTACAAGTTCATGAAGTTTGTCAAAGTAGTTGGGAGGTAGATAATTTCATGAAAAATAGTTTTCATTTCATTCCACGTTTGAACTGTTGGTTCTTTCTGGTTGTATTTTCATCAATAGTGAACCATTATATTTCTTCAAGTCCAATGAATTTTATTTTGGCAAATTGCACTCTTTGTGCATCTGACATGTCATACTAGTTGAAGTAATTTTCTATTGAGTTAAGTCAATCAAAAAAAAAATCAAGATCTCTTCGTCCATCGAAATTAGAGGCTTCGACCTTTACCTTCTTTATGATGTCTCCAGCATTATCTTCAACATGTCTTTCAGCAGGATGACTGCTTGAGCAACATGCAAACTTTGAAGTGGTGGATCTACTTGTGTCGTGCATAAGTGTCTCAATTCTTCCAAGATTGTTTTGATAGTGTTTTGATTTGCTTCAAATTTAGTATCAGTAGATTGCCTTATGTGTCCAAAATTTAACATTTAATTTAGCATTAGTGACCATTGTTGAAGCATAATTTCGCTTAAAAAAGTTTGGTTGAGGCGGGAACCAATTGCAGAAGTGAAAGAAGAAAAAATATCACAAGGTCTACTCGCAGCCAGCTGCACATGGGCTTTATGCACTGGCTTCACCGGATGGCAGCATCCATTTGGAAAGCGGCTCAAATGGAGCTGCTGGTCTCAAATTGGAGGCCGATGTAGGATGCATCAGTGCAGGAGTCTGGATTTGTGAGAATCAGCAGTTTTGTGAGCTTGCGACAGCAAGTATGATTGTTTCTAGTGGAATTCCGCAGCAAGGCTATGGGGGTCGGTCAATCAGGACTTTCTGGAGCTGGTGGTGATGGCAAAGTTGACCACCTCTGGCAGGTGGCTGGTGAATGATGCTGGTGGTTGTTTTAAGGTTTTTGAAACTTTTTTTTGGCAATTTTTTTCCCAGATAGATTTGGGACTGTTTGGGTATATGGTTTGGAAAACTTGGGTGTAGGAATCTTTTAACTCTAGTACGAAATTGATGTAGGATAAATTAGGATTAGTTTGCCCACTAAAGTATTGGAGAAAGGTATCACACTTAGGGTTCTTAGGTCTCATACTGAAGCTTTGATTGAGTCACACAATCACTTATGAGAAATTCTCAAAGGTATTTTGAAGTACTTGAATGATCCTTTTGAGAGGTTATGATCTCATTTATAGGGGTGCTACAGAACTTTCCTAAAGTATATTAGGAAATACTAAAACTCATTTAAGAACGTTATTTCTAATAAAATAAGAATATTAAAGGTAAGGAAAACAAATATAATAAAGTGGAGAATAATCAAACAGTAAATTTCTTAAATAATAAATTCTTATTATGGTTATGCACCACCAATGACGCCAAACAAAATTCCACATGAAGTCATTTGTAACCTTATTGGAAGCGGGATCAGATGCTTAGACATATACTGGTCAAAAGGTATTCAAACTTCAAAGTGGTACGAGGTAAGAAGGTGTAAGACACTTATCCTATGGTGTACACTAATAGACTAAACATATTTTGCGTGCATTTATCTTACCTAACTATTGTATAATACGTAATTGGTGACATTCATTTGTAAATAAAAGGTTTCTTAACTAAAATGTTTGCAGATCACATGGGATTGAGAATTAGAAAGAAATACAAAAATTTAGAAGAATATAATAAAAATTCCACCATATGATTCATGAAATTAATTCTCTTGCCTTTCGCGCTTAGCGCACTTCATATTTCATCCACATTGTTAGCGACTGTCATAAACTACCATTACCTTTATGGGGTTTTTTTGGTTGTAATCATAAAATTAAAACAGTATGGAAAATTTTAATTTTAATGTTTTTCCAATAGCAGGCAATAATAAAGAGGGACTAGGAACAACTAATTCCAACAATGACACATTACATGAGCATTGTAGGTCAAATGGGAAACCAATGGATAGGTATCTAATGGCGTGCATACCAAACATTAAACCTAAGAAGGCAGGAACATCGAAAAAGCAACAATGAATCATGTAAGCAGTGGGCAACCGATATTAGACAACCATAAATTTAACCAATAATAAACACAATGCAGTAAGAAGACCAAGAGAAAGATTAAACCACAAACTCATGCACTCCGGCATAAACAAATCCCAAGCAAACCACATAGTAATGTCATTTAAAAAATAAATCCCCATACTTAAACAGTAAATCATTTTCAATCATCCATAATTGGACCTAAACATGGAATGAATAATATAAAATGATATATATAAACCCAAAACGACATATCCAGCAATTCAGTGGAGAACATTGATTAACACACTTAAAAAAAGTGATTTTAGAAATGGTTATGTGATCACGTATGGAACTTACATCATGCAGTAAAATAGATTCACTGAGACACTTAATTTGATATTCGCATATAACTTCATCATATTCCAGATATACTATCATAGAGCATTCCAAGCAAATTTTACACGAACATACTGGAATTACAAAAAATTCGAAGAAATTAGAAACATACTTAAGGATTGGGACAATTCCTCTTTTTCTTCAACTTTCCTTCTCTTTTTTCCTGTTTTCTTCTCTCTCCCTTCTCCAGCTCTTACCTTTACCGGAAAGAAGAAAGAACGGTCCTTCCTGTCTCTCCCTTAGCCCTTGTCACGACTTGCTTCTGGAAATCAGAAACCACTCACGTCTCTCCTCTGTTTTTCGATTTTCCTCCAAGCCAAACGCCTCTGTACCGTCCCTTCTTGTTGCTTCTCTGCCTCATCTTCGACCTGCCATCAATCAATCACCATCATCTGTTCTCCTCTGCCTCCAGCTCTCCAGAGTAAACACTGTCTCTCTCTCTCTCTCCTCGCTATCGACTGAAGCAATGAAGACAGAGGGATGAAGAATCTCCTCCGAACGATGTCGTTTTATATCCAAAAAGGGGATTGGGCCGAGACCATTTGTATTCTGGGCCTAAACGGTGTCGTTTCAGGCCAATGGTACTTGTTGGGGGTTAAATTAAAAACTGCGTTGGCTTTTGGAGATTGAGCAAACAAACAGATTAAAATGGCCGTATAATAAATTCTCCCCTCTTTTAACTTGTGGCTTCAAGCTTTATTTCTTTTTCTCTTTCCTTCTTTTATTTTTGGTTCCTTTTTCTTTTTTTCCATTTTTCTCTTTCCCTTTTTTTCTTCTTGATTTTGTTCTTTTTTCCTTTTTCCCTGACCACAATGCAAGAGAAATAAAATTAAATCTTTTCGTCACATTTTTTATTTATTATTTCATAAAATTTTAGTATTATTATTATTATTTTCGTTATCATTATTTTTAAAAAATATTTTATTTAATCTTTGAATTATAGTATATATTATAATTAATTTTCAAATATTTTTCTATTATAATTTAGTTTCTAAACTTTTAGTTTTGTTTAAAAATACTAATGTTGTTAAAACATTAATAAAAAAATAAAATTTGATTAGTAAGCACTTCTTTTTTACTTAATAATAATAAAATATTTAGCACTATTCAATATTCCCTTAAGTTCTCATCACTTCCTCTCTCTCTCTCTCGCTCTCTCTCTTTCACGTACACATACACTATAGAAAGGTGAAGAACTAAATGAGAAGAAAAAGAAAGGTAACTAAATATTTTCCTACCGCGATCTCAATCTTAAATGCCAACACACTCAATCTCTCTCTTTTTAAGTATCTTTTGAGATAAAAATACGAAAAAAAAATAAAAACTCACATTCGGTATTTTTCTTAACATCCAAATAGGAAGAAGAACATATAAAATGGGAAGAGGAAGAGGAAAATCTATATATATGCATATATGAATATACACACACATGTACATAAATACTATTAGAAAAAATGGTGAGGAAAAATAACAATTGGTCATGCGCATTCTGAACTTACCTAACATGTAGCAAGTAACTTTACATGATTTGAAGAAGTAGTAACTATTATCTGTTTTACATAGCATCATAATATTGTAGCATCACCAAACAAAAATAAATGACTTATTTACATTATTATTTTATTTGGATCTCATAAATATCATGTATATGTATATCAAATTAGTTGTTGTTTTAAATCCTTTTAAAGAAAATATTTTAAGTATATTGTTCACCAAATATATCTAAATATATATTTAATTATATTTTAATGTCCTCCTATAAATATCTTGTTGATAAGTTTACAAATATTACATTTAATCAAGTATTATTAATAAGATACATTATTGCTGTAAAAACTCGAAACCTTGGATAAAATAAAGTCATAAATTAAATGCGGAAGCGAAATAATGGAGTTAGAATTTACATTTTTTACACAATACTTTAGAATGCTCAATAGGATTATGAGAATGTCTCTTCTAAAAGAACAAACAAAAATCAAAGAAAAACGAAAGAAAAATAACTAAACAATCCTAGGATGACCTTCATTAGCTTTTGAAGGGAGTCTGAGTGGTGAACTATTCACAAATCCTTTGTTGATCAGGATCTATATCTTGGTCCTCTTAATATAAAATAATTAATAAAGGGGTGAGATACACTAACCTAGTAAGTATATATACTAATCACATAGACAAAAAACTGAAGATTAGTAAAAATCAGAAAAACAATCAATTGAGTACACTTAGATAATAATATAGTTTAACACAGACAAATAACTAATGACCGAAATACCAACACACAATACATGGAAAATATATAACCAAATAACCAAAAAGACCTTAAAAATCATCAATTGAGATACACATAATATAATAGTAACCAAATATAGGCAATACAGAAAAATAAATAAGAAATCGAAACGACAATGAACTAACCAGTTCTGCCTCCACTAGTGACCTGTAATTATTTTTAAGGTTCTCTAATTTTTTATAAAAACAAACAATTATTAATTATTAAGCCTCAATTTACCGTAACAGAAAAAAATATGCGAGATCCTTACCCGAATCGATGTTTCGGAATGTCGCTTTGTCTACTACTCTTTCTAATGGGTACCAATTTTTCTGAATTATCTCTGCGAAATTTAAAACACTTGTTAACGTACCTAAAAATATCCTAGGAATCCAAAATTGGTGTCCAAAACTTGTTCCAGCCAATTTCAGGGTCTTGGCACGGCGGCACCGCCGTGTTCCCCCGCTCATAACGGTAGTTCGCCTCGCCCTTGCTGGTTTTGACCGTATTCCTGCAGAAAAATATGTTAGGGACATCGATCGACCAAAAAATTGAAGAAAATCGAACTCATAGGTGATGAGGGACCCCTAGGTGCGGCGGCTTTGCCGGTTTTCCTTCGCGGCTGAAATTCTTTATTCGGTAAACTTGCATAGAAAAAGACAGTGAACACAATGGTCAAAAAATTATGTGAAACAAAAATCAGAAAGGGGCTTATCGGAGGGGTTTTGGGACTTTGGCTGTGACTGCTCCGCCGAGCTTCGCTCGTAGTTTTCGGCTCACCTGCCATTCATTTTGCTCTGATTTGGCCATAAAAGTGCTCGGAATCAAATTTCGAGTGAGTAGGAAATTTTTTTACCACTTTTGGTGATCGACAGTGGCTCCGGTGCAGCGACGGTCAGCAGTCAGCTTCCTTCTCCGGTGTCTGGTTCTTCTTATCCAGCGAAGGCTAGCGACTAATGTTTGGGTTTCCGTGTGATACGAGATATTTATACTCATCCTGCTTTGATCTGGACCATCAATCATAATCGATCTCATCTGTCCAATCGTGTATAAAGAGAAAATGAATCTGAACTGTCCATCATGATTTGATCTTAATTATCCGATCGCGTTTAAGGAAGAAATAAATTTAGACAGTTTATCATGGTTTGATCTCGACCGTCCGATCGCGTTTAAAGGAGGAACAAATCGGGGTCGTCCACGCGTGTGGGATCGATCCTAGGCTGTTTGATCGCAGGACATGCGGATCACCCGCGTGGCACCGACGTCAGCATGCCTTGTCATGCAGCATGCTCTGGTTTATCGAGATTGCTGATTGGGCAATCCTGCATGGCAAAAAATTTTTTATTTGCACTCTAACCCCCAGTTTCTGATTTTTCTTTCAAAAACATCCTCCAACCCAAATTTTTACCTATTTTTCTCAAAATTATTTTCAATTCCATCCTTAATCTATTTTTTTGATAATTCCACATTAAACTAAAATTTATTAATTTCAAAATTAGATTTTTTATACATTTTATAATGTTAAAATTAATAACAAGACAAATTCTGGGTCTGGGTATTACAATTCTCCCCCTTAAAAAGAAATTTGGTTCCTTAAATTTATCTCCATCTCACTAAATCAAACAGTTGGGGATACTACTCTGAAGTCTAATTCTAGCTCCTATGTGGCCTTTATGTGTGTGTGATTCTGTCATAGATCTTAACAAAGGGAATTTTTTAGTTGTAGAGTACTCTGTTCTTTCGATTTACAATGTCCACTGGTACTTCCTCATAGGACAGATCCTCTTGGAGTGAAAATGCCTCGTGGGCCAAGATGTGAGAGGGCTTCGCGTTGTACTTGCGTAGCATGGACACATGAAACACATTATGGACTTTAGATAGTTCCGGAGGTAGTTCCAGTTTATAGAAGGCGGTACCAATTCTGTCTAAAATATCAAATTGCCCAATAAACCGGGGATTTAGTTTTCTCCTCTTGCCAAACATATTGATTTACTTGAAAAGGGTGATATTGAGGAACACTCGATCACCTTTCTCAAATTCTAAATCGCTCATCCAGGTATCCGCATAACTCTTCTGCATGCTGTGAATCGTCTGGATGTTCTTTCTGATCTTAATTATTTTGGCTGTGATCTTGATGCGGAACCCCAAGACCCTTACTTGAACCTTAGAACTCTTCAATTGGTTTAGAACAGAATCTATATCACAATTAAAAAAGAATTAAATTTGTTCAATCACCCAAACGGTATAAGTTAAATAGAAACCAAGAAAGATAAATAACATCTTTTGAACCCAATCCAAACAAGCACCAAAAATAATTGAAATAGGAAATCAAAATTGAAATACAAGTGATAATAATTGTATACCAAATCAACACTCTGTGCATTAAGTTAAAAGAAAGCCAAAACTCTCTCAACTCAATTCTAAAATATTTGATTACAATTCCTGATGTCCACAAAGAAGAGTTCCTTTGGTATTTATAACAAAAGAAATCAATGATAATGATGCAGAACCCCAAGACCCTTACTTGAACATTCGAACTCTTCAATCGGTTTAGAATGGAATTTAGATCACAAGTAAAAAAAGAATCAAATTTGTTCAATCACCCAAATGGTAGAAATTAAAGAGAACTCAAGAAATATAAATGATATCCCTTAAACTCAATCCAAACAAGCACCAAGAATAATTGAAATAGGAAATCAAAATTGAAATACAAGTGATAACAATTGTATTCCAAATCAACACTTTGTGCATAAAGTGAAAAGAAAGCCAAAACGCTTTCAACTCATTCTGAATTGTTTGATTACAACTCTTAATGTCAACAAAGAAGAGTTCTTTTGGCATTTATAGCCAAAAAAATCAATGATAAGTTACAATATAATAACTACAATTGTAACTCTCACAATAACTAAGTTAATTATGTAGTAATTACAATTGTAACTCCAATAATAACTAGGCTAATTATAGGCATGTAAATGTTATGTAACTCCTTGTAACTTCAATCTTCTTAACTAACACCACTAATTGTTTGTGGCACCATATAGTTATGGGCCCATTCTTATAATAACACTAAGACAAGACTTAAGCCTAAAATGAGTTATACTTAACTATATGGGCTTAATTAACTCGAACTAAAATAAAACAATTCAAAATACTTAAAACAACTCAACTAATCCAGGCCATACACAAGGCTTATTCATCCA